TGGTAGACTGCAGAACTTTTAGTCCTATTCAATCCAAATTCGAAAGAGACAAAAAAAAAAAAAAAAAAAAAAAAAAAAAAAAAAAAGTCTGTTGCTTGTTTCGCAGCGCACTGTAACAGTTTCAATATTCGAGATTTTGCGGAGAAAGGGGAGAACCGCCCAATCTTTGTACTGTATAATGTATTGGCCAAAAAACAAAATTATTTTGACTATTCGATTACTTTCCCTTTATTTTAGCCATTCCGAATATTATTCCTTAGAAAGCTAATCTGTGTTAAAGCACAACCATTTTTGAAAGTTTACTATACTTCAGCAGTTACTGTAACTATGTTATATTAAACATTCATACATATGCTCATAATATAAGCAAAACGATCATAATAAACACGAATATGAACTGACCAAGCAGAACGAGAATGCAAACTATTAAGATCTTGATAAAAATTCAAACATGTGTAGTATTTGGGTGAGAGGAAAAGAATGGCGAATGTACCAGAATTTTCTACTGCTTTCGCAATTCTTTGACCAATAGAACGACGGGCACCTGTTTGTACTCTTTGTGCACACCAAAGGTTATGTGAATGCAGAGAAAGGGGAAAAGCTATTTCCGGGAGTATGATTCACCATCTGACATTCCATAGAAGGAAAAATGTTTTTCCATAGGAAAGTTGTTGTTCCATAGGAAGAAATTTGTTTATTTAGTTTCAGCTTTGGTACCCGGAAAAATAGCGCGTTCATTAAAAAAAAAGAACTAAAAGCAAAAAATAAGCACTAAAAACAAAAAACAAAAAAAAACAAAACAAAACAAAACAACAACAAAAAAAAAACAAGGGCTTTAAAGAAAAAGTAAGCACCTATAAGGGCCTTTATATTTTATTTTCAAATATAAGGACTTATAAGCACTTATAAGGACCGCTACGAACCCTGTGCATATTGCCATGTTAGGAGCTCCTTCGATAAGAAAGCTAGATATGGAGCAGAAAGACCCACTGGGGTTTGAGATTAGAATTTGCCCAATATGGATTAAAAAATGTCTTTTTTGAAGAAATTTTACAGCTAAAGGGAAGAAAGAAACCTGTTTAAGAAAATTTAAAAATAAATTAAAGTATTTTTTTTTAATATTTATTTAGCAGTATACACAAGTACAAAATATGTGTACTAAATTTTGTGATGTACTAAATATTTTTATTTTGTGATTTTGTCATGATACTGATAGAATTAATTTCATGAGTATGCCAGAGAAAATTGTCTGAAATTTGAAAATATTATTAACTAATAATTGGTAAATTTAGAAGGAACAAGCCACGTCAAATGATGTAAATAACATTAAAATAAAGTTATTTATTTAAAGACTGAAAATGATTAAATATTGAATTACAATAATCAGCAGTATTTTGGCAAATATATACAGTCAAAAGTCTTTAATCCGGACGTCCATAATCCGGAATGATCTATAATCTGGACCTCAAAGCTACAAACTTTCTGCGCATGCGTACACGCATAATGAGTTTACACATTCGCATAATACTCTTAGGCTTGTGCATATGCATGCGCATAATATGTTTACACATGCGCGTTTAATGTATAACGGACGGTATAAGCTAAGCTAAAATTATTTAATTATCTATTTCAGTTAATGTTGCAGATTGCGTTGTTTCTTAATCTTCGAATTGGATCCGGCTTATTATTTTTTGCAGACTGTTAGAGCAATTTTATAAAAGTAAGCTTGAACTTTTGATTATGTCAAAAAGAATTTCCGATTCTGGAGCTGCCAAAGGATCTACAAAGCAAAAGCATGTTTCGATGTCCATCAAACAAAAAGTGGAATTGCTGCAAAAAATGGATAAAGGCATATCCTTTGTTTCTCTAACCATTCCGAAATCTGTTTATCAATTTCATGCTGCTTTGCGGGGGGGGGGGGACGTCGCGGCGCGCAATGAACTGGAAGTTGATCTGTCAGCACTATCCTTATTTTCAGGGCAGATGTTTTTATTTTATTCAGCTTATAATTCCTTACTAAATGTAGTATTTCATCTCAATGTACTCCATCTTTGATATGATTTAAATCAAATTCCTCGTCATTATAAATATCACATAGTGACATCAAATAGTTTTCAGGTTGCAATTTTCTAATTTCGACTATGTGTAATGTATGCTTTACACATGCACGCGTTGAAAGACATGTTTAATAAAGTAAACAAATAAATATTAAGCTTTTTTTTTTTGTGAATTTTGATACCCTTTAGATCATAACTGCTCTTTATTTCATAAATTACGGTTTCATATTTTTAATTTTATAATTTCTGCATGTGATCTTACCAGAATTAAATTGATGATCTATAATCCGGAAAAACCGATAATCCGGAATCGCCGAAGTCTTGACGAGTCCGGATTAAAGACTTTTGACTGTATATGTATGTATATATATATATAAGGTGATGTTATTCCCGTCAGATGATGTGAATAACAGCATCTTAATAATATTAAAATAAAATTATTTATTTAAAGACTGAAAATGATTAAAAACTGAATTACAATAATCAGCCGTATTTTGGCAAATATATATATTTCTATATATATCACACAGTTAGACTAGACAACTGATTATTAGTATTATTTTTAAACTGTTAATGCAGAATGACAAATTAGGCATTTATTAAAAAAAAAAAAGGTTTAAGAGATTTTTGTTTTATACAGAAGAGCTGAACAGAATCTGAAATTTCAAGAGGGAGAAGGAATGGGTACTTATTTGTAGTACATGAAATGTGTAAAAAAGAGGGGGGCAAACATTATTATATTTAACGTGTTTGTTTCTGAATTCAGTTGTCAGTCCTGCCGTTTTTTGTTTCTTGAAAATAAAAAAAAAAAAAAAAAAAAAAAAAAAATTCTATGTAGATTATCTAAAAATCCAAATTATGAAAAATCAAGTTCAGAACAAATAAATATTTTGGCATTTACCAAACAAAGTATCATATTTTCTTGCAGTCTGATAATTATGATATATACACACGACCAACGATGCTGAAAATCTTAACAGTTCAGTTTGATTTTTTTTAATGATGCAGAATGATATGATTCAAAAATATCATTAGATATCTTTTAACTATAAAAAGCATTACATGAATTCTTATCATTTTAACAAGCAAATATGTTAGAATCTTAAGTAAACATACATTAAAAAAAATATTTTATTATGTGTAAAAGATTACAAAGTTTCTCTAGCCCAATTTTTTTAATGCGAGATGACAGCAGAAAGATAAGCTCTTTAAACCAGGAGGCAGAATTTTCTTTTGTTCAACATGCACAGATTTCTTGTTCTTCGCAAAAACACACGAAGCATGCTCTCTGGATTCTGGAGGTTACTGGAAACCAAAGATGCTGGAAATTTGCTTTGTCTTTCCGAAAGACAATCTGATTGGTGCTGCGAAAACTGGCTCTATATCAGCTGCCAGAATGACACTCAGGCAATAGATACATCCAACGATAGATACACTCAGGCGATAGAGATACATTGCCAAAAAAAAAAAAGATTCATTTTCAACAATGGCGCAGAAACTGCTTTTTGGGGATTGTCGTACGAAATTCCCAGACCTTCCACATTCTGGCTAAAATATTAAAATTCCCTGACCTTTTCTGGTCAATCTTTGAATTCCATGACTTTTCTGGTTTTCCAGATAGCGTGGGAACCCTTAAATTCTTAACTATGCAAACTAAAAAATAGTCTGTTTTGTTGGTCTTAAGTTCTTTTTGAGATTGCCATGTTCATTACTATTTTAGATAGCCATTATTATTTTTTATAACATCCATCAATAAAAAATTATCGTTTATAGCATAATCACTTAAATTTTCTCTTCTCATCTGATTTCACAAATTTATCAGAGCATATTATGCATAACTGTACTCATTAGTCTTCATACTGAAAATACAGTAAACCCTGTCATGATGACAATCTCTGTAAATAACTTCTGAAAGAGACCAGTATTTCATGGGTTATAAATAAACACTGATACTTAACCTCATATCTCTATGACAACCACCTCCATCGAAGACCAAAATCATATGTGTTTCTTCATATCTAGTCTCACTTGGTGAAAACCACAGTCCGTCACTGCTTTATACATAATTTTTGTTTTTAGTTTTAGCTTCATTTTTGACAGTTACACATGTCCTCTTAAAAATTTACTATTCCACGTCATCATAATGCACATAAAATTTTTACAAAACAAAATTATTACATATATATATATCATTCTGATTTATCATAAAAACGACCTATTAATGAAATAAAAGACTTGTTTAAAAAGGCTGAAAGAAAACATATTGTTAAATTACACTGGGTGAAAGCACACAGTGGAATTGTCGGAAATGAAAGAGCAGACACCCTTGCTGAAATGGCGGCACTTGAGGATGGGGCCGATAATTTTGATACCCAAGATTCAAGAAAAAAAAGACCATTGCTGAAATGGAAAATTGGATTTATACAGAATGGAATTTTTGCTGGGAGTCATCTAATCAGAAAAAAGAGTTAATGAAAAATATAAAGTTAAACAAAATGATGAATATTATATGTTGATATAAATCAGGTACTGACTAATTATGGGCATTTCTCGGCTTATTTTAATCAGCCCCATCTACAGAATAATGATAAATGCTTAATTAGTGATAAGTTTGGGGATGCCAGGCACTTCGTCAATGAATGTAAGCTTACCCAGAGTGCAAGGAGAAATATAAAAAGAATTTTTAGGAAGATTTTAAAAGGAAGTATTCAAATTTGAAAGATTTTGCAGAGACAATTATGAAGATTATCAATATGAACAAAGATAGAATTGGAATTCGGAACCAAGACTCAGGTTTTGCAATTCATATGTTTTTTTCTGGCCAGTCCCATTTTTTGATCATACGGCTGACTTGCGCTGGCTAGGAGGATCGGAGTTGTTCCCTTATAATAATAATAATAATAATAACAATATAGCGTACAACATTTATACCCACAATATTACCTTCTTTACCAAAACTCCAGTTTTTACTCATTGGAACAGACACTAGTTGAATTTTATTTCCAGATGAATTATCTTCGTCTATGTTGAACTTAAAGCCATTTTTCTCAAATATATGCAGATTATCCATTAAAGTGGCTTCTGAAGCTGCTGTTAAATTTAAATTTAAGGGGCTGTAAAATACGGAAAAAATATTCTAAAATATTAAATACATAAAATAACTCTTTTACAACATTTTTACATTTAACACAAAAATTATATAATATCATTAAAATGTAAAGAATAAACTATCATTTAGTCTCATAGTATAATTAAATATTTCAATTTCTATGAATGACCATAAATATTAAAGGGAAAAAAAAAAAAAAAAAAGGTTGTTGAATTGGTTTAGATACCATAACATGTTTTGGGAAGAAAAATTATTATTATACTTTTTTAAATTTAAAAATTCAAATCTTGCATTCATTATAACAGATAACTAAAGAATTAGGGAGGGGACATGCATAGCCCCTCTAATTTTTAAATTTCAATTTTTATTCTGTAAAGCAACATGATAAGTAGTATTACAGGCACAACTGAATCTTAATAGATCATTGATTTCAACTGAAAAGGCTTGCATATTATGAGAGTTAACTTGAAACACTGTTCTTTTTTGTTGGGAGATAGTTACTCCTCACAAGCATTAGAAATTTAATTGTTCATTCACCACAAATTTAATGAGCATATAATTAATATATTGCTGTTCAACAAAATTATAAGTACACAGAAAGGTGTCTTTTATTGAAAGAAAAATCATTCTTAACCTTGACATCCTAAAATACCAACCTAAAATACCTAATAATAATATACATCCTAAAATAATAAAAAATAGTTGAAGACATCCTCAACTTGGTATTTTGGTTATTGGGTTACCTGAAAATTTTTGTTTTTTCTGCAAGATACTTATAATAATGAAGAGATAATTTTAATGTTGCTCAAAACGAATTTTGATAATGCACTGTGGCAAGTGACATACTGTGCATGTATTTTAAATAAAACTTATAAAAGCAAGGAGTTTTATGTAGGCAAATTTTGGTGAAGGATAGAAGATCAAAAAGCCAAAATTCTCATCAGAATTTACTTTTTTTTTTTTTTTTTTTTTTTCTGAAAATATAAAAGAAGCACAGATGCATACATAAAGATTTATGTTGTGAATGATAATGATATACTGACAGAATGCACATGTCAGAATTAATTTGCAAAATTTTTCATTCCAGTGTTTTTTGAGTTGTAGAGTTCCTCATTTTGTAAATGCTAATTTACAGTTGAACATGAAGAATCTTAAGAACTGATAAGCGAATAATCGCTTGAGTTCGTGTGATATGAAACAACAAGATGGAAGGGTAAATAATCCCTTATTATTTAAATACGATTTAACAGACTCCTAAGACAGAACTTCGTCTAGGAGTGTATAATAAAAGCCGACACTTGGGCTTGAACTTAAGATGCTAAGAAATAAACTAAAACTAATCTAAACTCAAGAGATATAGCCAAAGCTATCAAAGTTTTAACGTTGTTGGCCCCTTAAACATGATATGACTGCGAAGCTATGAAGGACCTAAGTACGGCCTAGCATAATAACAGCTTTGAGAGAGAGTAGCCAAAAAGGCGGATGTGCGCTAATCAGAAACCCTGATTCTCTCTAACTCAGCAAGAAGAACTACGCAGTTAAATACCGCTCCTCCTCATTATTTATTCAGACATGATTATAAAACTATGTTCTGGCCAGAAGTAGTAAGTTGAAGTTAAGAATTTGACAGGAAAGAAGTTTAACTTAAAATTTAACTGTTAATAAAATTAACATAATCCTTAGAGAGTTCATTAACTGACTTTTGAGTTCTGGTAAACCAAGTGACATTGAATGATAAATAAAAATCATCAATCAAAGCTGATCATCACATAACTATAAATGTGTTTACTGACAGTTTAAATCTATTGTTTCGATGAATGAATAATAAACTTGAAAAATTCATTTAACAAAACATATCAGCATATGTGATTTGATATTGAAATGCAAATAAAATAGCCCATTTTTGAAATAACTAACAAGTGATTAAAAAATATTCTTTATGGTAACAATGTGAACAATCTTAGTCCAAATATGGTAAGCCAGCTCAAACAATATCAAAAACTGATATTCATCAAAAGAAGGTCATATCATCCGTTTAGTGGAGTTATAAAGGATTCACTTACTTGACTCTTTATCAAGGAGTAAAAAATCAGTTCCAGCATGTACTATCAATATATATAGTCATTCATCAGAAATTACTGGAGCTCAGTTGAAATATGTACCCGATCCACCACACAATCCTGACAGTCACCATCAGACTACCATTAGTTCCACGCTCTTCAAAACTCATGAGGTAAAATCTACGTCTCAAGCAACAGTGTGAAATCTCAATTTAAAAATGGAATCATGAAGTTGTTTTTAGAATGGCCAGTGATTATTGAACAAACTAAGCATTACTGATTAAAATTATTTTTTGCATAATTTATTTTTTAAAAAATTAATAAAAAAATGTTTTAAATACCTAAACAGCAAAGATAGCAAAATCACTAAGCAAAGATAAAGAAATATAGAAATTTATTTCATTCTTTTTTAAATCATTAAATCATTGCTAAAAGTAATCTGAAGAAATATAGACAGAACAGAGTTTACAGCTTCAGAAACTCTGTATCACTGCTGTCTTTTTGGAGAGGTACAGATATTCTTGATTAGCTAGATAGACTAATTCACAGATGGATTGGATTGGATTATTTAATTATGACAAAGCACATGAGGGCTATCTGCCTAAAGGGAGGGCTTGGCTAAGAGAAACTGGCTAGTATACACGTTACACATGGGGAAAACCACGAAAATGCCCATGCAGCCAGCCCGTTCATGGGATTCGAACCTCAGACCGAACTACCAGTGTTCAGCATCTTTACCGCTCAGCTGCTGGTGAGCCAATTCACAGATGGAAATACATGTTAAAGGCACTATAATTACCTTGATTTCCACTAGACCCCGATCCCCAACACTACAGTTAAACTCTGTGACACTTTTTCCAATTATTGCATCTTATCTGATTACACTAAGCAAACTACACATGCATGACAACACTATAAATATTATAACAATTAGTGTTGGATTTTTAAATTACTTATTATACAAAGAAATTACTTACTTGAACAATTTCTGAGTTTCAAGCACTGTTTCCTTCTGCAAACTTTCAAAATTATACTTCTCATCTGTAGCATGTTGGTCAATAATAAAGAGATCATTATTCAGTTGAGTAATGATAAAGCCAAGATTAAACTGGAATAAAGTTATTTCCAATGAGATTCTTCTTGTAAATTTTCAGTTGTATTAATTTAATATAATAGTAATTTCTAAAATATTGACAAAAAAAAAAAAAAAAAAAAAACTGATAAAAGTTTATAATATCGGGAAAAAATTGCAATACAAGTATTATTGCACAAAGAAGGAAAACCAAGGTAAAGTATTATAATTATGATTTTCAACATGAAACAATTTTTAGCTATCAGAATTTTTATTTTAAACCACATAATATAACTCAAGTCCACTTATTACAAGTAATTCCATCATGCTTTACATACACCATTTCCATAGTATTTACTATCTGTAATTCATATTTTGAATGGCAGTACACCTACCAGTCACTAATCAATTAAGCCATGAAGCCCTGATAAGAGATAGAGAATTCAATTTGGGTGACTGATTGGTCTGACTGCATACAATTTTTCCTTGTCGAATATAAACAAAGCCAATTTTTTTCAAAAAAAAAAAAAAAAAATCCATCTCAAGCCATCTCATCCTAGGCATGTAGCTTTTTAACTTAGTTATTATTAACTACCTACTGAACAAATCAACTGAGAGTAAGGTAAGAAATGTATAGCTAATAACAGTATGAAGATGTTTCAACAAAGATAATGAAGTGAAACACACTGTCCTAGAAATCGAGGTAGGAATCTAAGAAGATAACTTCCTTCCATTGTGGTTGATGCAGTGCTTCTGAGCTTTGATAGTGTAATAAGGCATGGAATTTTTTTTATACCATGCACATTTTACTTTGATAGCTAAACAGGAACTTGAAAAATCGAGTATTCTACAGAGGTAAATTAATAAGTACATTAATAAGTCCACTAAATAAATTGGTTCATAGTCAGTAATTAACATATTTATAATAAATAATATATAAAGTCCCCACTCTTTTTTTAACAACATGTTTAATTGATGTCTAAATGTAATACAAAATTATGAATGATAAAATCTTTGTTATTCAATACATATACTATTGTATGAGACATAACCAATTTTAATGTTTCAATCTAACCCCTAATAAAAAAAGGAAAGAGTGAGTGATGGTCTATTATCTTTTTTTAAAAAAGTTTCAATACATGAAACTAGCGTAATTAATATCATTTCAATAATAGCATAATTTCATAATAGCATAATCATATAATTTCATAGCAGCATTTCAATAATGTGATTTACATTTTGCATGTTGTTAAATTATGGATTTCCTTGCAGTGTGGAAATTCCAGATATTTATAAATTAAGATCAATTAGTTATTTTAACTGTTTCAAAAAATGAAGCAAAATTTGAGTTGGTATGCAGATTTAGAAAATCATGATTGTGATTTGATGATAATGAGGTTAATGTTTAAATGTGACATAGATAGTTATTTATTATATTCTCAGAGAACTACTAAACTGAATTAAATTGCTAAGGCATGCACTAAATATAGAACGTACACAGAAACACATTTTAAGTTAAAAGACTGCAGCTTGATGTCTAAATGCATATGCGTAAATGTAAAATTATGCAAGTTAAAAGATTTGTTATTCAGCATGTAGGTTTACATTATATACGAGGGCTATCCAGAAAGTAGATTACGTTTTGGAATAAAAAAATAAACAAAGTATAGGAAACAAATTTTATTATATACAGATGAAAGCCACACTCAAATACTACTTTTCTACATAGTCACCATACAAATTAAGGCATTTATCGTAGCGATGTACGAGCTTGGAAATTCCTTCGTCGAAAAATTCGGCCGCCTGCGCCTTCAACCACTTCGTTACCTCTTCTTGCCTTCCATCTTGCACAAAACTTGTGGTAACCAAGCTTTTCGCTGATGATTTCGTGCAACAAACTTCGCGAAATTTGTGGAAAACTCAAAGAAAGTTCCGTTATTGTGAAATTTCGATTTTCACGGACTTTAGCATCGACTTTTTCGAGAAGTTCGGCGGTCACTATGCTGGGTCTCCCACTTCGATCTTCGTCGTGAACATTGGTTCGGCCATTTTGAAATCTTATGACCCACTGACGCACTCCACCTTCAGTGATAATGTTGTCCCCATACACTTCACGAAGCTGCCGATAGATTTCTATCGGTTTACAGTTTTTTGCAGTCAGAAATCTTATTACTGAGCGCACCTCGCAGCTCGCGGGATTTTCAATTAACGCAGACATTTCAAACCGTCACAGTATCTGAACGGAGCACAGCACGAACCTCTCACTAGCACGGCTAGATGCAGACTGAGCTGCGCAACGCTCTGACCCCAAGATGGCCGTGCTAGCCCCGCCCCTAGCGGACACAGACGGAAACGTAATCTACTTCCTGGATGGCCCTCGTAACATGAATATGTCACAGCCTGTGATGGCTATTTGCCTAAAGGAAGGGATGATTCACGGACAACTTTCTAAAGGAAACTATCTTGCATTCAAGCTGAACATGGGAGAAATTATGAAAACCAACCATGCAGCCAATCCATTTGCCTGTTATCAGAACTGGGTTGAATTCCTAGCATTCGGTGGCCTAAGTTCCTCAGCTAGTAGTAAGGCCTATAATTCTGTATATATACTGTTGTGCAAAATATAATCTATAATAATATTTGAGCAAAATATAATCTGCTTTTTGAGTGTCTAGCAAAGATAAAATTTCTTACATAAAAATTGTAATACACGTTAATTGACTGTAAATTACTTTACTTGAAAACTATAGTGAATGCAGAGAGAATAAAGATTTACACATGCTGAAAATGAAAACTATTAAATGCACATGAGTATTTATCGCTATCTTTTAAGAAACATGCAATTTCCTCTAATCAAGTATGTAAATATTGATTAAATCATTTATAAATATACTTGGAAAGGAAATATTTATTCATTTATAAACTCTTGAGAATGTTACTGTGAAGAAATCTTGTTAAATAAATCATATAGTGACCTTAACATTTAATTGTAGATACGAATTAAAAATTTTGCTAACAAATATATGTATAAACTATTTAGGGATGAATTATTCAAATTGGAAAATACAATATATGAGATGTGCACTTTAAACTATAATTTTTAGCATGTGTATTGTTGAATACAACAGGAATTACATAATTTTGATAAGCACTAAAAGAATTATTTCCTTGAATTTTACAAAAATTCAGTTGTAAGACTTAAAAAATATTAATAAACCCTTTTTATTCTATCCCTTCTTAATTATCATAAAAAGTAAACTACATGGAAATCAGCAGCAATATTTAACATATCCTAACTATGAAATAAAAGGTACTCTAATTTGATACAAACTAAGGAAAGCAATAATTATAGACTACGATCTTCGATTTAAAAAGTATCTTAGAAAAACTAAAAACCATCTCATATTTGAGAAAATATTTCAAAAAGAAACTGTGTAAGCAGAAACAAAGTAATGCGTGATTTTGATATAATTAATATAATAAATTTTGTAAACATTAACCTAATAAAATTGAATTACCTTAAAATTTCCTTTAAATGTAATTAATGAAAAACTGTAAAACATTTTATTCAATTTAAAGTATTCTGAGCACAGGAAAAATAAACATTTAATTTTGTTTAGAACAATACGTTGTTTAGAAATATATTCTTTCACATAGTTAGGATTTTGAAATACTGTAGAAACAGAAATTATATACATTAATAATATAATTACAAAATGTTTACTTCTGAGCATATGAAATCCTATAGATCTAGAATGTTCCTGAATGTTTTGATAAACAAGGAGGAGGCATAACTACATCAAGCCAGTGAAGGCAAGAAACCAGTTAATATCTCTTCCTTACGGTCCTAGGATGGTTCAGGTGCACTAGCAAATCTTTCTATGTCAAAATTTTCCAAGGATTAGTTTATAAACATAGCAGAAGAATAAGCTAAAAAAAATGTAGTTTCTGCTTCTTGAAATCTGCTCTTTTATTTTATAAATTTAAAATTCTTGGTTTGACTCAAATTCCCCTCACAATATTATCTAAACAAGCTATTTCAAGTCTTGTTTAACATGACAATATGGATCTAATTAAATATCAATGAAAGAATTGCATGGGATATTGATCTAAATTAACAGATGGACCGGTAATTAAAAATAAAAAAATAGAATAAACATAAACCCAATTTTATGACCTATATGGCCACTGATAAAATATGTTTTATGGAAACCTTTAGTATTTGAAGGCAGAGACTTTTTTTTTTTTTTTTTTTTTTTAAATGACTAATACATTTAATAATAAGGTAAATAATTTGCCAAGCAGGTTTCACACATTAAAAGCCAAAGATTGTAATTCATTACCTGGCCTATTATTTCCATTCGAGAAAAGTCCTCTTTGCTACAACAGAGAAAACATATTATTTAACGGATACTAATATATATATATATATGTATGTATGTATATATCTTTTTTATTAATATAGTTTAACAAATACAGAAAAGAAATAATCTTGCAATATAAATTTGAAAGCAAAATAGAAAATCACTGCTGTGCTCTAATATAAATAAAATTTTAAAATATCATAATACTTTATTTCTCGATTTAGCTCTTCTTCAGCATTGCTATTTTCTGTAGGAAGAATTTTAGAACGGAATTTTCTGTATGAAAACTCTGTTGTATCTGAACATAAGCTACCTATAAGTGCAAAACATTAACTTCAGATTTAATAACTACTATAGAAAACAACAACAACAAAAAATGTACAAATATAAATTGTAAAGCAGCAATCTGAATTTTCAAAAATTTACTAGATCTTTCTATTTTTCAGAACCTTAACTCAGCAGTTTAATCATCATTAAAAAAAATTTTTAGAGGCTTTTATTTAATATTCTTAAGTAAATCATACACATATTAAAATACTTATTAAACATATATTTTCTGTTTCTAGTAGCTTATTATATATTCTCAATTGTTAATTTCAATATTTTTGCAGTGGATGCACTATTTATTACAATGACAGCTAACTGCAGGTACGTAGCAAGATTAATATAATTTATTATTATTATTATCGATCACAGACTTCATGATGCATGTACCCTTCTGTATATTTTTCTAATAAGGAACAGCGCATGTGCATGTGCATATTTCTGATGGCATCTAGCTGCCTTGGTAAACTTATTCATTTCAATGAATTTCACTGCATTCTCACTGGTATGTATTAAATTTAATTTTCATTCATTTGTATTGTATTAAAAAAGAAAGAACATAAAAAATTTATAAAAAAAAAAAGATTTGAAATGTATTGTAAATTTTTTATGCATGAAATTTCATTGCTGGCCTTAGTGTCATTCTGTCTGCAAAACTTTTAAAATAAGCAGCATTCATTACTATTTCAGGATGTGTTTTAAAATAATTTCTAAATAAAATATGCATCCTAGCAGCAGAGTAGTAAAATTGCTGAACATTTAGCAGTTCAACCGAGATCAAATCTTGGTGAATGATCTGGGTGCAGAATTGCTTTAATGATTTTCTTCATGTATAACATGAATACAAACTAGTTAAAAAAAAGTCCTCCAATCTTCCCTTAGGCGGATAGTTTTGCCATGCTTTGCCACATTACCAAATAATCCAATCTAAATAAAATGCATTGCTCAGCATGAAGAGACAATACATGTCTTAAATTGGCTTACAGAACCTGGCTGTCCCTTTTATAGCATTGTCATTATACACTGAGCTCTCCATTACTCTTATAATGAATTATCTCTTAATCATAATCCTAAATATTTTTCAAACTAATTCTGGAAAAATTAGAAAAACCCGTGAAACTTTGGAAGGTTTTCCTACAGGAAATCAGATTACTAAGCCATGGAATGAAATTGAAAGTTTAACCCTAATAGTACTAATAATATGATTTTAAAGAGTACACTGGACTGGGAAAATTTCTTCATTTAATAAAGAAAGAAGATTCTGTCAAAGAAAAAACCAACAACAGATATCAATAAAATTACTTCTGATGTTCAAAGATTTGAAAATATAAGTGTGTGTGTGGGGAGGAATCAACATGGATGCAGGTAAGGAAAGTCAAGAATGAAGAAGATAACAGATCTTATGAGATCAAGACATTCTTCATCCTATGATTCAGTACCAGCCAATAGAACAACAGGATAAGGAAGATCATAAAATATCAATTAGATTGATTATAAATTTCACACATTCTAATTTATATTAATTAAATATACTACAAAAAGTAAAATCATGTTTAAAAGACACTAAGAAAAGAGTTTATTTCACTTAAATTGTAAATCTTTTATTAACAAAAAATTGATCAAATTTGAAAGGAAAATCAAATATCCATTGCTTTGCTGAATTGCAATACTTTGGGCACACAAGAAGGTTCATGGAAGATAAAGTAAAGGTCTTAATGTTTTGTGCAGTAGCAATACTTGGCAAGCTCTGATTTTAGATTATTTCCTTTTTTTTTTTTTTTTTTTTTGGTGTGTGTGTGTGTGTGTGTGTGTGTGTGTGTGAGTTTCCATGGCATATCAGGCATATAAATTTTATTTTGCCAGGACAAGATTTTAAATAAGTGATTTTTAAGTACCTCTTCCAAAGGTGTTTTTTTTTTTTTTTTTTTTTTTTTTTTTTTTTTTTTTTTTAATTTTTAATAAGAAAAAGGACATTTTTTAAAGAAAAAGTTAAAAAAACGGAGTTTCTTTTACTATAATAAATCTTATTTTCAACAATACATTGAATGTTAGTTTAAAATCTTTGAAATGTTCATTTTTAATAGTAATTATTTGTTAATTACAGTTTTACAAGGCTATTTTTCAGGTTATATTATATTTTCCAGTTATCTGCATGCGAATTAGTGAAAAAAACTGAAGTTCAAGAATATAGCTTTTGAAAATTTTTAATATGCAAAAGCATTTTCTTTTATTCTGGTTCAAACTGTTATTATTTTCGTCTTAAATTTAATACACAAAGCATATCCATGCTGAATTAGAAATACAATAAAATTTACCTCATACTGAAACCAAAAGTATACATACTATTTACACACACACACACACACACACACACACACACACACACACATTATATATATATATATATATCATACTATTTACACACACACATATATATACTATTTACACCACACATATATATATATATATATACTTGTGTGTAAAATTAACAGAATTTGCCCATTATGTCGAATTAAAAAAAAAAAAACACTAATGGACAGATATATATCAAATTTGTTATGAATATACACAATAGAGAAAGAGTTATATCATTCAAAAATCCTTTTATATATGCATGATTATCAGTAAAGCTCATAGAGCAGGGTTATCCAAAATTCATATTGTGATATAAAAGTGAAAGTAAGTGTAATATAGAGTATAGTCATCTCCAATCAATGACTCAATACAGAGATCAATGCTCTCATGACTGCAAATACAGAGAAAAAATTTTCAGATGACAACATTCACTTTTTTCCTGTCCATACATTGTTGTCCTGATCAATGATCAATGCATTGAAAACCCATAAATGTTGGAATGATACACATGTGACAAAAATTTCCAGCATAAAATAGTTGTAAAGAAGAAATGATCATCATTCCTTATCAGATATGATGAAAATAGCAGATGGCTGCTGAGGGTATCATGAATGGATGAGGCACATTTCTCCTTAATTGGGAATGTAAACTCCAAGAACTGAATTTACTGAGCTGACAAAAATCCTTACGATGTGGCATCAGTACCTTTACATGAAGCTAAAGTGATTGAGTCTTGTGGCATCTCAAGTACTTTCATTTTCAGTCTGTACTTCTTTAAAGTGGTCACTTCTGTAGGTACGAAAACATACTCCACCACAAGTGCTCAGTACACAGCAATGTTGCAGTATTACATAATTCAAGACTTCAGCAGCGAATGTCATTAATGACATTAATGACATTAAATGGATGCAAGATGGTGCTCCTCCACAACTTGCCATATATGTTCAGCAAGTACTGTAACAGCACTATAGAAATAGAATCATCTATCATTACTTTGCAACTTTGTGGCTACCACTATCCCCAGACCACACTCCAGAGGATTTCTGGTTATTTGCAATCTAAGGTATACACATTAAATCTATGAGATTTTTAGAACGGAAAGATGCCATAAAACATAAAGTTATATAGGTTATTTTTTACATACTATATTTGTCATAGTTGTCAACTATCTCCACACTGAACACTGGTAGTTCGGTCCGAGGTTCAAATCCCGTGAACGGGCTGGCTGCATGGCCGTTTTCATGGTTTTCCACATGTGTAATGTGTATACGAGCCAGTTTCCCTTAAAGTCCTCCATGAAGGCATCCCTCCCTTTAGGCAGATGCTTTGCTGTAATTAAATAATCCAATCCAATCCAAGTCAACCATCTCCCGCATAGAATGCATTATCATCTGTGAGATCCTTTACAATGCTCTTCTTTGCAAATGTTTCAGGCCAGCAATTTTTATCATATGTATATTGTTCCATAAAACATTTATGGTTAAACCATTAACCAAAAAACCATTTATAGTTTTTGAATGTGGTGATCAATTTGCGCAGGAAAAAAAAAGTGTTGCCATTCGAAAATTTCAATATTTTTTTAATGTAACCGTAATTGTGAGAGCTGTATTATTTTATATCATCACAATCTCAAACACCTACCTTCAAATAGCAATATCTGATATTTCATTTTGACTGATTGAGTAGACAGGCTGCTAGTGGCTCATATATCTGGGAATTTTACATGACCACCCTCTATATATATACATACACGTATACACACATAATTATATTTCCAGTACATACATAAGCTTATTTAAAATATCACAGTACTTAATTTTATTTCTTGAAGTCCTGTTTATAGTTAGAATTTTTTTTACAGAAAGGAAACCCAATTTTGTGTAGTTAGCTATTTTCACACTTTTTGCATTATTTAATAACAATAGAAATACCAACATTTCAGCACCATCTGTCTTGAGTAAATAATTTGCTTCAAAAAAACCAACTATTACAAACAACAACCTATCACATAAGAGAATAGAAAATTTTAAACTTAGTAAAGGAGAATTGCATGATATGCAAGGAGAAAAGAAAATTGTTACCTTTATTTTGTAATTCTTTTTTCAATAAATCCATACTAAAAGGGATTAATTTGCATCTTTTTCTCCTCAATAAGGGCTCATCAACCAAAGGTTTAGAAGGAATATTAGATTCTGTTTTTTCTTTTGGATGCTTTTCTATACTGACTTCTTGCAATGGAGCTTTAAACTCTTCTGTCTGCACTGTACATTTAAACTCCTTGATCTGCACTGTAGTACCTTCTGCATGCTTTTGTTCATATTCACAATACATTTTAGGTTTTTTATTAAAAAAATTTACAATTTTGTCATTAGTTTTATTTAGATCAACTTTGGTTTTTGAAAGTTTTTTATTAGAAAAAGCATTCGTGCATGGAGGACTACCGTCTGAATCTCTTCTGGCCAACAACAACATTTCTTTACATTTATTACATTTATTTTTATTGGGAGATGAATTTTTAAAATATTTTTCTTCTCGAAATGGCAAAGTCATAGTGAAATTTACATTTCCTATAGGTTGACAATTACTATTCTGTAATTTCCGAGTAGAAAGTTCTTTATTATTAGCAGTATTTGTTAAATGTGACATAGTGCTTGTATCTGGAACCTGAAAGTTAAAATATAACCATAATAAGGAACATATTAATAATTAAAAAATCATGCACAGATTAATTAATAATAAATTATATTTACGTAAATGTATTTTAGCAATTTGAAGACATTTGGAAAAATACACCCAAAAATGCTTCCAATTTAAAGAAACTTTAGTAAAATACTCAAACAGATGAGGCAGCAGTTTTTGGATAACTGGCTCTTGGTGATTTGATGGCATATTGAAAAAGAGTGCATGTGCGCCAGATTATGGTAACCCTAACAAGCATTGTAACCCTGCAACTCACTCAGGGAATTTTCCTGAAGGACGAAAAGGGATATTTTCAGTTTACATACATTTACGGAACATTATGGTAAGACAAAATAAAAGTTAGAAAATCAAAATTCATAATTAGTTCTGAACCGATAAGGCACTGTAATTTGAAGGAAAATTCTACAAATTCTGGATTGACTGCATCCTCCAGATCTTCTTAGCATGTTTTTTTATTTATTTATTTATTTAATTTTTTTCTTTTTAAATACAGGCACGTTTTTTACCAAATATTTTAACTAAATACTTACTGAGCATCCAACTATACAGTAGAAATAATATTAAAAAAGCAGAACAGATAAATTTTGAACTTGAATTTCAACTAAATTAAAAAAAATAAATTGAAAATATTTCACAACATACATGTTTCAAGTACTATAAATTACTTTTCCATCAGAACCTAAACAAAAATCAGGTGCAAATTTCAAATGTTAGGAGAATCATGTGGTTCAATAGTGTCCATGCAAAACAATGAAATAAGGTAGCAATAATTTGATTGGTAAGGTGGTAAAAATTCTGCAAATTTTTATTTTAAAGGAATCTTTCTATTTTCTATAAATCAAGTTTTCAAGGTTTTTTTAATATATATATATATATAACATTAGGGCTTTTCTATTATGATAAAACCAAAAGTTTTACAAACCTTTTATAGGAAATTTAATCTAAAATAGGGTTCTGGGGAGTTATATTGTTCATTTCCTAAGGAAGAAAAACTAATTGAAACTTATATCCTATACATAAGCTGTGTAACTAAAAATAATATGAGAAATGTAAATAAAAAATCAAACTATTATGAATATACATAATGGAGGAATATTGCCTAATGCAGCAAATATGTAAGTTTTTTTACAGATTGGCTAAAAAACAACTTTCATGGACCCATTTATGTAATTGAGTTCATTATCAAGAGCAGAAGAAAAAGAATAAGTACCATTTGCTAGAAAAATGAAAGATTCAACAAAGAAATCTTTATTTAATATAATAACAGGACTTGGTGCAATGGAAAAAGAAGAGGAAGCCATTTTTCAATAATCAATGTCATAGATTTAAATACAGTTATCAGCTGAATAGCAAAACAGAACACAAATTCTCTGTCAGAAATCCTTCTGTTTGGTCTTGGTAATTAAAAGGCTAAAGACAAACTAATAAATTTTTAATAAAAAGACTTTTGGCTAAAGACAAACTAATAAATTTTTAATAAAAATATGATAATGAAGATTATGTCTTTTTCTCATTAAATGAATATGGTATATTTCACCTCAAAGATTTTGATTTTTATAACCTATTTACAAACAGATATTGCTGCTCGTGTTAAAGAGTAAAATTAGAAATATCTTCAAGTATAACAACGTTATCTACTAACTGAAGCATTTTGGTGATCCAGAAACATACCATACTCTATTTTAAACGGAAATCCTTTATTTTACGAAAGGCTTCTAATTCATGGGATCATTTAAGACAGATGCAGAGAAAAACACAGGATTATTCTAAATATATTTATGATATTATAGAAAAATATTAAACATTTCTTCTTTATGCTACCTGAAAACAATTTTCCCCCTCAATGTACTTTGTGCAGTTCCTCACAAAATCACACACACAAGCACAGCAAGACCAAAGCAAAAGTTTTCACTAAAACAACATATAACTGCCAAAGTATACGTTGGCATATACTTTGGCAGTGAAAGGTTGTATACTTCTCCTCCTCTTGGCAATTTAATAATAAAAGAAAAATTCAATCAAGCTCATTTTAAAAGTGAATGAATCTCATTTTAATATCACACTGATTATTGCATTTTCAATGAAATTTCAAATAATTCTTCTTTTATTTTGAAATAAATTCATTCTTTAACATTTATGCAAGAACTGTTGCTGCACTTTATAGAATACCACAAGAGAAATGTTTCAATTATTTTTTTACACGAAGAGAGATATGAACTTACAGAAGAGGTTTCTGGTTTTTGTTGATTAGAAGGTCCTGAATATTGAGCTTGTCCTTCATCACATGTTTCTCCTTCATCTCTTCGCAAAGCTATTTGATAAAAAGAAAGAAGTGACATAGAAAAGTGAGAACATATTCAAATTAAATAGAAATCAAATCAAGTACAAGATTTCAATTTATTCCCAACCCTCCACTTTTTTTAGATATGATTTCTTACTGCTCTGAAAGGCTTAAAAGAATAAAAAAATTTGTTTTAAAGTATTATAAATTTTACTGCTTTTCATTATACCACCTTATACACACAATTTAAAAAACAGAAAATATCATGATTATGCAAAACTAAAAGCACCTAGAAAACAAAAATCAATATTTGTAATATTAGCTGCAACCTACTGATGCATTATCAATAATACTACCCCTAAACTCAGCTTTATTATGAGCATCACAACAAACCCAGAAAGTCTTCTGGATTCTTCTAAAAAGACATGAATTTTTTAATTCTTTTCATGTTCCCTTTTTTAAGACAGAAGATAGATTTCCTTTCTTTTCTTTTTATGATTATTATTATTATTTAACATCAGCACCAGTTTTAACCCAAAGAAGCAAACTATTTTAAATGCACAATTCTAACGCTATTTAAATAACAGGCATTTAAAAAAAATCCAAACCAAGTTCTCGACAATGTAATTAATTTCTCTTGTGTATGCACATGCGAGTGAGTATGTATGCTAATGAATTTGCAAGACAATCATGATATCCTTTGAATTCCTAGAACACATCAGTGTGCTTGGATGATATCTGTGAGATAATTCTTCAATATATTAGTAATATTCAATACTCCTGAGCAATGATTTCTACTTCATATGAATTATTATACTCACATACTCCTGATACTATGTACTATGACAAAAAAAAAAAAAAAAAAAAAAAAGGTATTTACATATTATTCTGTGCACTGTGAAAGTTGGCTACTATTGAAACATGAAAGCTACTGGAGATCTTGTCAAATCTACACCAGTCATTCATGCATAATTCTGATGGAACTGACGCCTCTGTATTTAATAAATAATCAGTATTTGATTTGCTTTGCAAAAAGGCTTTTGTTGATTGGTATTATTTTCTCAGGGCCTCCCATTTTACCAGAAACGCTGTTTAGAAGCTATGAGTAAACCTTTCCTGCAGGTAATTGTTCTTGGTAATATTCAGCTGACCATTTAGTATCCATTAATGCATATATATATTTAATAACAGGATTCCTTGTTCATAATAAAATAATATGGCTTATTAAGAATTAGTCAGGGTTATATCAAATGAAAGTGCATTTGTTATGAATGTTTTGTATTATGATACCACTTATGCATGTTGTTAGATCACACATAAATGGTGCTAAATTGTGTTTCGTAATGGCAGTTTCACGGTTGATGGGATAATATTTAAGCTCATAAAAATATCAATGTTTACAACATGCACAATGATGTGCATCCATGATTTGCATGGCAATAAATTTAGTTAGAATTTATATTAAATCATTTAAATCCAGTACATATTAGCACTTCATCTTTTTTTTCTTTTTTTGACAACAATTTCCTACAGAAATTTACCAAACAAACAGCTGTTTATCTCATGTTAATTTTTACTAGTTTTTTTGTAGTGGCTTTACCTAAAAATTAAGAAGCAAACCATTACTTTCAGACACGTAATATTTAAAAAAAAAAAAAAAAAACTGCAAGTATTCTAATTTTTACGCAATAAAACTGAAAAAGATGCATCACAGAATAGTGTTGATAAAACTGAAAACAAAACATTAACTAACATAAAAACTAGGCAATGGTTTCAGAACAATCAATGAGCTAGTTTCCTTCAAAATTATCTTCACAGAGCCTACCTCACCTTAGGCAGATAGCCCTCATGTGCTTTATTCATATAACCTTACATTCAGAAAATCACTAGCCTTCTTATTAAACAGAATTCACATGAAGGCACAAACAGTGATGGAGAATAACAGTCTGATGCAATTTTTGAATGCAAATGCCCCACAATACCAGTAATTAAAAATAATAATAATAATAATAATAATAATAATAATAATAATAATAATAATAATAATAATAAAATTACATTTAAAAAAAACAATTCTAAAAACTTTTAGAATTTACATTATGCCCTAAAGAGCCTTTTTAAATTTACATATACATACACATATCGAGAGCATTTGGACTAAAAATTATAAAAACAGCACATCTCATAATTTACAATAGACAGTCTCATGCACTGGATATGAAAATTTCCTTTCCCCCTCCTTTACGGTGTTGGCATTGCTCGCTTTGAAATCGTTGAATTTGTTAATAAAAAATTCACTAAAATATAACAAAATATGAAATAGGCAATAAAACAAATTCTAAATTTGGCCTTCCAGGTGCTCATATTTGGGTTGAGAACTACGTTATTCAAAATTTGATGGCTATAGGTATCATTGCTTTTTTCAGAATGTGAGAAACATATTTACATTAATGCAGATTCTTTATAATTTAATTTCTTTAAGTATTGTACAGTGTGACAATATTTTGTGGCAACAATTTGAAATTTCAACAATTTTATTTTCTGGATGTCAAAATATATAAAAGCATACATTAAAAATCTGGTATAATTAATATGCATATTAAATAGAATATAGATCACTAGAATAAAAAATAAAAAACATAAAAAAACAAACTTTTGAAAGGTTGAGATAAAGCTTCATCTTCTTCATGGTAATTACTGTTAAACTCAAATCTTCTTTTCAAAAATGAATCAGACGTTTTCTACAAATAAGACTTAGTTTAAGTAATACAAATTTTAATTTTTCTTACTACAGAAGAAGGTAATTATGATATATATTCATGTTTAGTACTTAACAAAATTTTATTTTTTTAAATTCCACTGAAAGAGAACTTAAAATCCAAGCTAATATTATTGCTTCATAAAAAAAGGGAATATAAACTGTAGAAAAACAATATAGTATATTATACACCTATTGTTTTACAACACTTGAGATTTTGTTACCTAGGTTTTTGTAAAATATTTGATATGTTTATATATCTTGTTGAAAATTTCTCCCTAAATTTTCTTTAAAATGCAATTATTGTTTACAATTTTACAACATACAGATTTTAAGCTATTATTTCATCTTACTTTGACACATGTATTTCTACTTTTACACATTATTTGCTATGATTTCCAGTTCTTAATAAAACTGATTAAAAGTAATAACATTTCATCCTACATTCACATGTCTGTGTATATATATAATAACAATACATTTTTTAAAAATCTAATATAATCATGCCTAATATTTTCGTGTATTAAACTTTACTTATACATACATAAAAATGTAAAGCATCTAAATAAATTAGTAAATTGGAATAAAAGCAAGGAATTCCTAATTTATTTAGATGCTTTAAGTTTATTCTACTTCAGTCCTGCAGTATAGTGCAGCACAGGTTTAAAAAAATTTTTATTCCAATATTTAATTTAAATTTTTAGCCTATTTACATATTTCTTTATATATGTGTGTGTGTGTGTGATAATTTTGAGTGGGAGACTGGATAAATTAGAAGATTACAGTGTAGATTTAAAAAAATAGCTGTTGAATGATGAGACGCTTATCTTATCATAGTTACTTGGTGAGATCTCAATGTATAGATTCACAAAAAGAAATAAGGGAGACAGATTTGACAAAAAGAACACATTTATTTATTCATGAACCCTCTTGCAGTCTACATCATTCTTGGGTGCAAGATGTGCCTCAAAATTTTAGTGTAGCAGCAATTCATGTCTTAACAATGAACTGGGTGGAGTATAATTGCTAGCAACAAGTGAAGTGGGGAGAAAAAGAATGCACAGTTAATTCAGTAGTATTTATAATAAAAAATTACTTAATCTGATTGGCTAAGATTACATCACATTTCAGGCATGGATTAATTTTGAAACACATAATTTAGAAAAGTTATTACTATTTTTAGAGTAAAGAGGGAAGTACACAAATTAAAAAGAGAAATTAAGGGGCTACTGCTAATATAAAGTATAATTTACAGTTGCAAATTTTACACGCACACATATATGTATATGTACATACACAAAGCAAAAAAAAAAAAAAAAAAATTTAAATGCCATTTATTTTGATTTTACTCTAATTGCTAAACGAATACGCAGTATTCTATCAAACATGAAAAATTTGATTTGAACTGCTGATTGATTTACTAGCAGAAGAAAAAAGATCTGCTTAAGTTTGTTAATTTACATTTTATTTCTATCAAAAAAAGACATATGTATTAGAATCAAATACATAATACATTTTATCATTTTTATTTTAAATGTTTATGTTTCTGCTATGATTTCTAAAAAATTTCTCTCCTTTCAGGTTATTTAAAAAATTGCCATCATAAAGCAAGATTATAGTCATTTTCAGACCTAAATTGAGATATTGTTGATATATTCTTGATTATTCATCATAAGAATATCAAATTTTAGAAAGATTTTTCAACTACATTCTACACCTGTTTTGTGAAACTGATAGTTGACAAAAAAAGAAATCAATCAAAACATAATATTATTATATTTTGAGCCGATCGGCCTGTTAGTTGCCAAGATATGTATTTTTTGTGCATTTTTCGAACAATTCGTGATTTTTGGATCTGAATAAAAAAAGCAACTTTGAATAATACAAATTAATATTTCTAATAGCTTAAATCAGCGTGCTCATTTGTGTTACTGAGCTACGTAATCATTCACTGCTTTTGTTATTATAAATAAGTTCATTAATATATATGCTGTCGTATTTTTGGTAACAAATGTTCCTGTTCGCATACAGCTAATATTAAATATAATTTTAAGTAAGAAATTATAATTGCAAAAAAATTAAATATAAATATAAATAAACTATTATTTTAAATTCTGACTAATTATTTTTTCGTTCAGGGTTTTTAAATTGAATTTCTGTTGCTTGAACATGGTATATGCAAAAGTTTTCTTAATATAAAATAATTATGGTTGATTAATACATAATGTACATATTGATGCACTTTTGTGTGTGATTATGTTGAAGTTTATCAAAAGGAATTTTAATAACGAATCTACTGTTTGAATATTTATACCCGAAAATTTTTGCGCTTACACTTGGCAAAAAGCCTGAGCAGTAAAATCGCTGAAGCACTGGTAGTTCAGTCCAAATTTCGAAATCCCGGCGAACGGGTTGGCTCCATAGGTGTTTTGGTAATTTTCCGTATGTGTAATGTGTATGCAGTATATTGTGGATGCATACGTAAATAAAGCGGGCGTAGCCCGCGCAAACCGCTAAACACTGGTAGTTCGGACCAACTTTCGAATGTCTCGGCGAGCGGGCTGGCCTGCATGTGTGTTTTCGTGATTTTACGGTATGATGTGTAACGTGTATGCAGTATTTTCTGGACGCATATGTTAATAATGCGAGACGCAGTCCGCGCAAAGCCGCTGAACACTGGTAGTTCGGTCCAAATCCTTCGAAATTCCAGGTGAGCAGGCTTACTGCATGGGTGTTTTCATGATTTTCCACATGTGTATAGTGTATGCAGTATCTTTCTAGGATGCATACGGTGAATAAAGTAGGCGTCGCCTGCGCCAATCCGCTGAACATTGATAGTTCGGTCCAACTTTCGAATAACGGCGAACCGGCTGGCTGTATGTGTACTTTCGTAATTTTACGCATTTGTATCGTGTACGCAGTATCTTCTGGATGCATATGTGAACAAAGCGGGCGCAGCCCGCGCAAAACCGCTGAACACTGGTAGTTCAGTCCAACTTTCGAATACCCGTTAAAGAGCTGTCTGTATGGGTATTTTCGTGATTTTACGCATGTGTATCGGGTGAGCAGTATCTTCTGGATGCATACGAGAATAGAGCGGGCGAAGCCCTCTCAAATCTGCTGATCAATAGTAGTTCGATGCAACTTTCGAATCCCGGCGAGCGGGCTGCTCCATGTATGTTTGCATGATTTTCCGCATGTGTACGTGTATGCAGTATCTTTTGGATGCATACGCGAATAAAACGGGCGCAGACCGGGTAAAATCGCTGAGAACTGGTAGTTCGGACGAACTTTCGAATAAAGGACAACGGGCTGGCTCTATGGGGGTTTTCGTGATTTTCCGCATGCGTGTCGTGTATGCAGTATATTTGGTATGCATACTTAATTAAAGCAGGCGCAAAACCGCTGGACACCGGTAGTTCGTTCCAACTTTCGAATTCCGGCCAGCGGGATGGGTGCATGGGTGTTTTCGTGATTTAACGCATGTGTAACGTGTATGCAGTATCTTCTCGATGCATACGTGACTAAAGCCGGGAAAGTCCGCGCAAAACCGTTAAACACTGGTAGTTCGGTCCAACTTTCGAAACCGGTGAAATTGTACATGGCAACTCATGAACATTGAACAATGAAAAGCGGGCTTCAGCCCGCTCAGCTGGCGGGCTTGCCCGCTAGTATTTTAGCTATTAAACAATATATGCAGGTTGCACTCAACCATAAAAATCCTCATAACCTCAAGGATAAAATGCTGAAAAGTAAGTATTGCGAAAGGTGGTTCTAATTCTAAATGAAGTGAAATACTTCAACAATCTACAAAAATAATCATTTTATTTACAAAGCAATTTTGATTGCATCGAAGGTTCACTGCTAACTAACTACGTCGCAAACTAAAAACTAACATTCTTTTTCAGCGAAGTGAAGCGCCCTCTAACGGCGATATATAAATCATTTGGGGGATTTTTCCACACTCCCCACCTGATAATTTTTGCAAAAATTATCACTATTTCAGCATACAAATAATAAAATATAAGAAAGCAACTTACATATCAAATACATTCAACTGATGTAAATATAAACTGCAAAAAGAAATTCTATAAAATAAACAAATATAGTTAACTGCATCAACTCAAATGTTACTTACTCAATACGTAAATATTAATTCAAATTACAAACAGTAAATTATTAGTAATAACTAAACTAATTATCTAAAATTAATGTTAGTGAATATGAAATATAAGAAGTAAAATTAAAAGGTTACAAATTTAGTTCATTTTCAGTCTGATAGTTCAAGGGGGTATATCAATTGCACAGGTCTCTTAAGGTCCCCTTTTTTAGTTTTTACCACACATGATCGTACAAGACCATCACGTCCTTTGAAGACTTGAATTACTCGACCTAAATCCCAGAGGAACTTAGATTTAGTTGTTCCTTCAAGTAAAACTATATCACCAATTTTAAGATTTTTCTTGGCTTCTGGTGTACCGAAGAAGTGAGCATTTCTCAACTCAAGAAGATACTGATTTTTCCATTTTTTCCAGAACTGTTTTATAAGTGTTGTCTGATATTCTTTTCGTTTTATTAGACTCTTTCTTGTTGGAGAGTTATTCAGGATCTCAGCAAAGTTGTATGGATATTCATCCTTATGTCCGATCAATAGAAAATCAGCCGGTGCAAGCGGTTCAGGTTCATGTAAATCGTTGTAAACGTAGGTCAAAGGACGTCTATTCACAATATTTTCGACCTCTGTCAACACAGTCATAAATTCTTCAAAATTCAGTTGAGCTCTGCCTAATATCTTTTTCAACGGTTCCTTTATGGTTTTCATAAGGCGTTCATAAAAAGCTCCCCACCATGGAGCAAGCTCGACGATAAATTTCCAAGTCAAGCCTTCATTTGCTAGAAAATTTTGAAAGTCTGTACCTTTAATTATGCTGTAAAAATACTGTAAATCTTTGGCAGCATATTTGAAAGTTTTCGCGTTATCTGAATAAAAGGTGCGACAGTTTCCTCTTCTCGAAATGAAACGTCTGAGAGCCAAAATGAATTTGT